GGGATGGTATATACATCCATTATTATCGTTATTCAGAAAAGTCGAAAGATTTTTCGACATCAGTATAACGGCACTCTACTTTTACTACTTTAAATCCGGTTAATCAGCGGAAGGACGACTCCAGGCTTACTGTATTTTGAGAAACGAAACGACACGAAATGATGAATTAACTCGGCGGCCTGCGAAGGGCTGAGAATATCAACCACCATAACAATCAGATCTTCCTGTGTAATAGTTTAAAGGAGGAATGCAACACTGGAAGTGCAAATTTTCTAAGTTCAAAAATCTCTATTTTGCGAAACGGACTCTTCATAGACAGTGATGATATTTTGATAAAAATTGCCAAGAAAGACGTTAAGTACAGCGACTGTTTTACCTGCGTACGCACCTTGCCGGAGAAAGATGTTATTCCTTGTCACTCTAGATCTTTCTACACCGAAGACAATTCAAGGTTCTGGACTAAAGAATGGTAAGAGTTCTTGCTGTATTTAAAGACGGCAGCATTTCAGATGTTTTGGAGACCTCATTCGTGTCATAGGATTCCGAGTAAATTTGTTTTGTCTAGTGAAGTGATGGACTTGAGCGTGATGGAAAGGTAGGATTGGACCACGGAATGAACAACAGTGGAAAGTGGAACGCTTGGCGCAGTTAAATGTGTTCGTTGCAGTACTGCGCTAACACCTGGATAAGTGTGAGAAACACTCACCTGTGGCTCTTTGCTACACTACCTCTTCTCGGGATAGAACATCTGGTTGGGTCTTTCTGTAATGTGGTTCTGGAAAACGGTTGAAATAGATCTACTACACAAGGATTGTTTTTCATGACAAACATCATTCTTTAAAAGACTTTGTTTTATTCTTAAGAAGATTTTTTTTGCCATGTTTACAATCTTATGCTGCTTATGAAAATATGAATTTAATACCACTTAACATTTTTTAAAACAAAATAGGGGTAGCTTTTGTAAAACTACCTTGTCGAAAAGACAAAAATAAAATTATGCTTCAGCAAACCGTGCGCGTGCTGATTGGTGAAACGACTCCTCTCGATGCTGCTTTGTACAACTAAATGTGAACTGAAATATTGAGAGCCATTTAAAATCCTTGTATTCTGTACCATGTGAAACTAATAGTTTGAATTTCAGCCGTCTATTCGACAAATGTTCGATTCGCACGCTCAGGCAAGCAAATAGACAAATTAGGGACTATTGTATGATTATTATCCAGCAAACCGTTCTAATTAAATAAAATAAAATGTTAAAAAGGTGTCATGAAACACGTAAAGAAGACAAAAACACCAGAGTAGTCGAGAATTTGCCGATTCAGAAGCTGGTTCAACTAAAACATTGTTTAGCGCTGAAAACGTTGCCTGTAATAGTTAGTGAAAACACTGTTAAGCCTCTTCGAATTCTAAAAGAAAATAGGCTTATTGTGCTCACTTTGTTTACCTATCTAGTGTTTCGTTGTTTCAATGCATTGACTAGAAAGGCCGGGACCTACGTCTACGTCATCAAGAATACATATGAGGACCGCTGGGATGAGCCGCCCTAGTTAGACGCACGGCAGCGTTTGGGAGCTCCGCGAAGCTGTAACTTTTCATCTTAAAAAAATCGTTCAGGCAAGGCTGTACACTGATTGTGCTATGGGAAACTCAGGTGACAGCAAAAACTGACAAAAAAAAGGACAGAAGAAGAGACAACTCATCAGCAGTTCAAGCGGTAATGAAAACTCAGAAACAAGCCAAGATGGCGCCCTCGTCACATTCAATCAGGGACCTTACGCAAAACACGACGGCAATGGCAACGAGAACGTCACCAAACAAAAGGTCTAATGAGCAAAACGTGCATTATAATTCTTGGTACATTTCCTTGCTGTCCTCTACAAAACAGCAACGTGAAATGACCAAATTCTGCGTTGTCTGGAGAACGTGGACCACAACGGCTAATTTTACGTATTTCTATTTGGAATTGAACGCATTCGTAGCATATTCAGCAGGAGCAAGTTTTAATACCAACAGACAGACTGGATAGTTCCAAATAAATGCAAAATTCCAAAGTAAAATAGAAACACATTTTTCACTAGGCGTCGTCGTCGTATATGCGTTGGGTCCCTATTATCGGAATACCACCCCTCCTACACAGATTAAAGGCTGTTAAAGATGCTGTAAAAGAACGCGCAAGTC